AGAAATTGTATTAGACTTAGCAGCATGATAAACCGTCTTCGTATTTCCATCTTTCGGTATTGGATGGAAAGAGCGAGAGAGGAGGAAGAGAGGGAAGAAGATCGATGGGCGGGGCGTAGGCATCGTACCATCAATGTTCCTTGAATAAATCATATCCACTGCTGGAATATTCCCTCACGATCGAACTCCATCTCATCTCCCTTTTTCTCTTTCCATCCTTTGTCTCACCTGCTTTCTCCATTAAGGATTGGACTGCTCTCAGACGTTGGCATCACGGAAAAAGGAACCGAATGAGGCAGAAAGGCTGCATCGGACAGAGTTAACTTTCGAATATCGTACAATCTGCATTTTCCGCTTGCAACTCTTTCTGCTGCCGAATTTTCCTAATGGTGAGTGTTATACGTCGAGGAAAATTATTCCCCAGACAAAGCAAAGTCGAGTTCCCCTTCATAAATAAATAAACCGAAAATAACAAATGAATAACAAAAAACAAGAGTTGTTATGATCATCAGGAAAAATATAAATGTATTCCTTCCTATCTCATCATGTTTCTTTCCTGATGGAGTAATTTGCTCCAAGTGCATGGTAAAACTTGGAAAGGAAAGCGAGTCTCATCTGAACTCAAAGTCCTAACCACGTAGACCTCATCCTATATTATCTCCTTCCTAATTGTCTGAAGTTCTGCAATGTCATGGACTGCATTCAATCTTTTGTTTCTCCTACACCTTGCACAAATTGGAAAACTTTGGTCTCGTTTGGTTGTTTAGTTGTTGCTGTGTTTCTTGTCCGAAGAGCATTTTCGTTCATTATTAATCGCATACTTCAGGATAGTGAGCTGTTTTTGTCCACCTTTTGCCTGGTGTAGACCTATCTTTTTTGCAGTTCCAAAAATTCCCTGCCCGATAAATTCTTAATCTATCCGAAAATGTACTTTTTTCTGTGCAGTCATGGCTAGAAGGTTTCCGGATTTGGCGCACAGCCGTCTCCAATGGCTACTGTGCTTCCAGTTTCCGGAATCCAGCGATAGTTCTTATCACTGGTACATCTACAGGAGAAGCACGAGAAAGCGACACCTGCACCGAGGAAATTGCAAGTAGTGGTTTCTCCCAAGACGACTAGATGTCGACACCTATTGTTTCCCATTAAACTCGAAATGGAGTGGTCAACATGGCACCCCTGCTGCTTTCCTTCAATCATTTTTTTTTATTTCTGGGAATCTTCATTCCCATTCGGTGCCTTCCACTGCCAATAGGCAAGGAAGGCCCATCCATCGGTGAGGGGAATTCAACAGTGAGGCCAACTGGGAAGGATTTACGTGATCACGGGACGTTTCAGCTCTACTTTTCAGCTTCTTTCCCATACCCTTTCCTTCATGTCCGTCTTCACGAATCTCAAGTCTGCATCGACCTTTAATACCAAGGTGAGCGATACTTGCCACGTCTTATTTGAATTAGGTATTCGTGTCGTCAGTGAACCTCGCCTTTGAATCAATGGATGAAGGTGTCCCACTGGGACACGTATCTCACTTTTGAGAACATGGCTCTTACGACCGTTTCTGCCTCGATCCAGGAGGAAAATCTCTCTCTCTCTTTTTCTACCCAAAATAGTTATCTTTACCTTCAATCATACCCAAGTCTTCATGACCGAAAATCGTGCTAATGCTACATTTCATGTGCTCCTATGGAATGAGCCAGGTACAGTCAGATGAAAGTGATTCAATGCTCTCCTGCCTTATGGTGCCTGATGAGTCGCTTTCATTTGGATTTTTACCTTTTAAATGGTTTCAAATGGTCTCACTGAACACTTTCAAGAATTTATGCACCGTTATACAACTATTCAATACATAATCCGTACATTTGCCGTTTACAAGAACCTTTTGGAAATTGCAAAAGTATGCCAAAGTGTGTGATTATGATTTTTTTTTATAATATCAATATTAACATGGTTTCAGAGCTAGAGAACAGAAACCTACATCAACCCTTTCTTCCTTCTGCTATTGACCTTCCTGAATTATATATTTCTGACGCAATTTAGATAAATGGGATTGAAGTTTCCATTCCCTTCCCTTCCCCTTTCCCGATGTTTTCGAAGGGATTCCGAGGGAAATCCCTGCGGCAACATCGTCTTAATCTGCAGCATTATCCTCTTAGTAGTAGAAGTGAAGGGAAGTTATTACTTTCCACTAATTGAAATTGAAGGTCTGCTTCCTTATGTAGTCTCTCGTCTTCTCATTCAAGCCGGAGTGAGATAAGCCGAAGGCTTATCGAACGAAGGTTCAGCATATTGCACATGTGAAATAGTAATTGACTACCACAGAAAATTGCACTTTGTCGTATGTCCGTCGGTCTGTGTCAGCGCTCTACCACTCCAACTGCTGAAGATAGAACGCTGAAAATTGTATGTTGATTCCTAAGCATCCGAGGATTTATTCTTCTCATAGGACAAAAGTTGCTCCAACGTTCTGTTGGCTACAAAATGCTTGTTTCATACTTGAAATATTTTGAATGATGACTTGGGAAAAAATTTTGAGTTTCGGTAACGAAAAATCGGCGTTGCGCTCAGCGACCAACTCAACATCCCCTCGACGGCTCGACACTCACGAGAATGGGAAGGGAAACACTGACCTCAGCAGACCTCGCGAGGATGATTGGATGTGCCTGCCGCCGTATGCAGTCAGTGAGCGCAATGTCGATTATTAATTACCGAAACTCAATAATCAGTCACAAATAAGTCACCATTCAATACATTTCAAGTCGGAAAATTGCATTTTGTAGCTAAGTCTTTCTTCTATCCATTACATGTAACAGGAAAAATATCCTTGAAAGCATCACATCTAAAATGCGCCTTGAAAAGTGTGTCCCTTTTTGGGACACCCTGTACATTCGAAGAACTATTTGCATCAGTCTACGGACCAAGCAATGGTCATGGCAGGGTCCGAGGAGCAGTTCTCGAGATTACTCAACCATAAGGTAAATAAATGCATTATCTCTATATACCCATATACAGGGTGTTCGTTTTATCGCGGGTCCCGCTATGACGGACTGCTTACAGAGCGATGTCTCTGCAGCCGAGTGTGTAGTGCCCACTGGCAGACTTGCCGTCCGCCCGTTGTTGTTTCAGTCTGAGTCTGCCCCTGTTGAAGAACGGTTGGTTTCGTGCGATGAAGTATTCGCTTGGGCAGAGAGTTTTCCTGTACGATACGTACGTAAAATACTCGTCATGAAGAAAGCGTAAAGGAAAGTTCCGCCAAATGAATTTTCTGGCGCTCCAGTTCCGAGCAAATCATCTATCCAAAGGCTGATTACGAAACTGCGTACAACAGGATGATTGCTAGACCAGAAGAGAGTTCGTACGAGGCACGTTTTGACTGTAGAAAAGCTGGATGAAATCGGCTCTCGTCAGCCCGTCATAACCCGCGATAAAACGAACCCTTGTACAGGGTGATCATTTTAAGTGAGAACCCTTGAAACCATTAATAACTTTGGGTAGGAAAGAGCTGGGAGCGTGAAATTTGGTAGTAACGTACTTTGTCGTCTGGAAAGACGTACTGAGTATTGGATTGTGGTGAGCAATAACCTGGCGTAGGATTGTGGGACCCATCTTTTTCACAGATACCATAACCTCTCAACGGTACATTGATACAGTCCATGAATTTTTTGGACACCTGACTGAAGAGGGAATTGCCAGAGCATGGTGGCAGCAAGATGGTGCAACAAGTCACTCATCGAGGCAGAGTTTAGCCGGCCTTTCCCTCTTGTTTGGGGAGCGCATCATTTCGAAAGGATTGTGGCCCCCACGCTCGCCAGATCTGTCGCCTTTGGAATTTCTCCCTATGGGGCTATGTAACGGACAATGCCTACAACAATAATCCACACACTTCCGATGAATTGAAAAGCAACATCTCGTAACTCATTGCCGACATCCCACCCATCACGTCACAGGCAGTGTCTTCCAGCATGCTCAGACGTGCACAGCTGTGCATCCAATATGGCGGTGGTCAATTTCAACACCTTTTGTAATAAACCAATACTCGGTATGTATTTCCAAACAAAAATGGACGTTACTACCAATTTTCATAATCCCAGCTATTTCCTGCCAAAATTTATTAATGATTTATTGGGCTCTCACTTAAAATGATCACCCTGTATATGCACCTGAATCAGGTTCTAAAGGTTTTTCTCAAATGCTACAAAAATTCGTACCGTTAGGAAATGCAACTATCACCTAATTCTAGAGTAGGAATTCCTACTCACAGGAATGGCTTACGAATTCTGGGATATTTTTGGTACTGAGGAAAGATGAGGCGTAGGCTTGTGTGGGTGTATGAGTATGAGCAAAATATATCGGGTGTTTGGAAAGTCACTCTCTATTTTAAAACTGTAATAACTTTTGTACTCTTTGGACTAGAACGATGATATTTGTGCCAAAAGAAACAGAATTCCATGGAGTAATGTGATTTGATTGAACGGTATGAAGTGTGTAGGTCCTCCGTCATGGTCCAGAGGTGGTGGTGGAAAGAGAATGCCTTGGATGCAACTTCCCACCTCCTCCGCCTCCTCACCTCATACCGTGCAGCTGTTTGCGCACGGTGTCGAAGATTCAATTTTGGCACCATGGAGGGTCAAGCAAGCTAACAAATCAATGAACCATAAAACTCCAACCGAATTCTCTTTCTTTTGACACAAAACCAATCGTTCTAATCCAAAAAGTACAAAAGTTATTATAATTTAAAAATAGGGAATGACTTTCCAAACAACCTGTAGAGTAATCCATAGTTTGAAAGCTAATTTCTTTCATTCCGGTTTGCACTTTGTCTGCATTAAGTATCTTAATTATCAGAAGAGGAACTGGCGTCTTCTGCCCGGTGATCTAACTCTTGAATATGAAATGCGTTCAAAAAGAAAGCCGAAATACGGAATTTATTTCCCTGGACTCGAGTGCTTCACGAGATATGATCACTTTTAAGGACATGGAAATGGCACATGGGCCGAAAGCAGCCGTCAACGGAGAAAGAAATGACCATGGAAAACTCCTCCCCCGTCCTCATCCATCGGATCGCACACAAATCGATACACGTATCTCTCGCCTGGAACCAGAATCATGACAAGTCAGGAAACCTAAGCACCACTTCTCTCACCGCGTCACTATGTTTTCAATTATTTCAGCTAGGCATCTATATAGTTCATTTGGATTATGGCAATAATGGTAAGAAACGGGCCTGTAAGGGAGCGTAGGGAATGGGACAAACCGGTGACTTTTTGGAGGATCCCCCTCTCGTAGTAATATCGAAGAGATCGACTGAGCTTGTCGTAGTTCATGGTGGGACGGTTCTTCTCTTTTCCCCAACGCCTTGCCACCTTTACGCGCACACAAAATACACAGATAATTGTAATTATTTAATTCCTTCCGTCTCTTCGAAAAAAAAGAGTGTTATCCTGTAACACAATATGCTTACTTTGAACGTCTCACAATTTCAGGACCCCCGTGATTGCAGGGAAAGGTGGGGGGCCCTGTCAGTCAAACGCTGAAGTGCTAATACCTTTACGACCTTTTATAACGTCCCTCTTTTTTTTGGCCCTGGGAGTCTTATATTATTAATCTCATTGGAGAGATTAAGTCACTCCGTTGACATTGCTTTACCATTGCATGCAGGCAAGGGGATGTACAGAATTCTACCTCTTCGGGTTCCACGAGTTTGAACTCCAGGCCTCTTCCAGTCCAGGAAATGAATCCAGAATTCCCGGGATCTTCCAGGAGCATTATTAGGAATTGCCAGAGTTGCAGGGAATTTCGTTTTCCTCCCTTAATGCCCCTTCCTTCTTTTACTCCTCCTTTCTCTCCGAGTCCTGAATAAACCAGCAGACAAAATTTGATTTCGAGATACAACGTAAATGCGGCATATTGGTTTCCACAATAGAATGAAGCGATTTCGATTCAAACTGTCATGTGTGCCAGGCTTTGGAAGCATGGCACACTTGACGCATATTTCTCCAGAAAAGTAAGCCAGACTTATTGCATTATTTGCTCTTCTTTCTCACTTGATAGCAGATCTCAGCGTCACTTATAGCAAACTTCTGTTATTGAGCGAGGGCGCGTCGATTTCATCCAGACTTGTTTCCAGTCCTTCTCGGATCTCACTTTTCCCCCATCACATCTCAAGAACTGATCCACTTCTTGAGCTCTTATTTTGGTCAATTCGTATACTTCATTTAACAATGCATTATGTCATACGAGAACAATCAGGATAATTCTGTCTCCGTGATCCATGCAAAATTCCAGTAGGGAAATTTTGCTTCTTTTATTCTTGTTGCTGTTTTAGTTTTCCTGCCGGTGCCACGAGGAAGAAACGGCCATATTCAATCATGTTACGGAATGTTCAGAATTCAAATGACAAGGTTTCAGGTGCTCCAGAAATCATGGCTTTCAGGAGCACCTGAGAGCACATGGAGAATGCCTAAGAATACATCACGTATGCAAAAAAGCGCTAGTATGCGTTCTTTGATGTGCTTTCAGGTGTTTCTGCTTAAGATTTTTTTTTTTTACTGTGTAGATGATGGTAGAATTTTGATTGCATGTGTTCCGCTGCTAGCTGAAGGAAAAGGGGAGGGAGGATGGTCGGGATTCAAGAATGCTTCTGAGAGGAGAATTGAGATGAGAGGAAGGTCTGTGCTGCTCTTTGCTTTTCATTCCCCCCCCCCCCTCCCCCCCCTTCCCATCGCCAACTGAGGCTGGTGAAGAATCCATGCAAGATACTGTAGGTTGCGAAAGTGATTCGTGTGGAAATCTATCCAAGTATAAAAGTATCGCGAAAACCTGAACAATTCAATGAAATTCCTCCTCTCTTCCCCCAGCGATTCCGATCACGCAAGGCCCATACTCTATTACTCTATAAACCTAAATACTCATGAAAAAGAAGTTGCAGATTGTGGAATGTTTTATTAAATGAGTACTTATTTCCAAATGACATTTCTATCCTTGGAATAGATCTACACTACTGAATTAATTGGCAAGGATTGAGTCATTGGACTTTAAACTGTGTGATATTGTCTCTCTTTGCTGCTCACATTTGGAGCACTTCCTCGTCCACTTTCGTCTGCAATACCTTTTTTTTTACTTCTTATGCTAGAGGCAACCCATATAGATGACAGAATGATTGGGGTCTCAGTTGGCGCAGAAAGCTCACATGTGAATTTAACGATTGCCAGAAGCTAGAGGAAATCTTTTACAGCTCGTGCAAGGGGGAGGCGAGAATCGGCTTAGAGGGGAGAGGAAGGAAGGAAGAAAGGGTATCCCTAGTCCGGAATGGAAGTAAAACAAAGCCGAAATGAGGTGGGGAAGGCTCTCATCGTCGGTGGAACCCCTCTGGGGTATCATCCATACCCTATATGCTACATATACAGTTTGTATTTGATTGGATTCGTCCGGATCAAGCTGGAAACCGATGATCCCTCCAGACCTGCTTCTCGATGATAGAATACACGAAATAGAAAAAAGGATCTTTTCTTTTTAAATCATTACTACCCACCGTTTCGAATGTAGGCGTAAGCTAAATCATCATTCACGTACACTTTCTCATAAAAGAAGGGGGGGGGGGTCACTTTATGTTTTAAATAGCTCCATTCTATTTCATGTTAGCCTCGCGTTTTCTGCATGTGAAATCTCCGATGAATATGAAAGATTTCCGCCAAGTTTGAAAAAATCTCAACCTGTGAATCAAATACAATAGTTTTTTAAAGTTGAATATCAAATTATCATTGAACACCCCATCTGCACGTTGCTCTAAGGCAGATACTTAGGCATGCTCCAGCGTGAATTAGCGAAGGGAGCAGGCAGCCAGTCTTAGTGAGGAAATTGGTTTTTAATGTTTCTTGCCCTGTTTTCACAGTTACTTTGTGTTCAGGTTGTATTTCCATTATTTTATTATCATTTTCTGTAGGCATTAGGCCTAACTTTCTATCTTACGGTTTTGTCACGCCATGATATACAGTATTCAAAATTACGAAGAACATAATGAGATTCAGGGAAAAAAGGAAGAAACACCTGATCAACGGTTGCTAGATATGAAGGGGTACAGCTTTCGTCGGTTCAAGGAGGAATCATCCGAAGAAAAAAAAAACTGGTCACGTCATAATCTTGATAACACTTGTGAAAAAAAAATGCTGAAACTGGATCGGCTGGCTGAAAAAGTGAAAGCGGCAGACTGCGCAAACAACCAGAGCTGCCGAAAATATCGAGGCTGCGGAAGAATTGGCTCTCGGTCAAGAAGCGGAACCTCAAACTCATCAAATGATGAAAATGATATTAGGAATTTATTAAAACCAACTTCATTGCTGAGACTGCCTGTACTATAATTTTGGAGTGCGTCAAGGTAATGGACCTGGAGAGAAGCAGTGTGCGGATTGCTTGTTCATTGCGATCTTCGATGCTTCAACTTCGAAACGTTATTGCATTTGAGGCATTGAGTTAAGTTGTTTTTTTTTTTTTACACTTGGCAGGAATATTTGTCGTTCATCTGAAATTTCAGGTGCAAAAGACCTTGAGCCTTGCATATCAGTTGTAGATATTTAATATTAAAAAAATAATAAAAAGACTGCCCTTTCTTGAGGTAAAGTGTACGCTGTGGGAGAAGCAGGCATCGTTGCTCGAGGCATTGAAGTCAAAACGTTAAAAGTGAAGTGGATGAAGGGATCAGATAAAACAGTGGAAGTTACTATTTAACTCTCGATATCATACATCTCTGGACGAGATTTCACTGTTCTGTTGGACAGAAGCCTTGCTTTTGCCTCACATATTATCTATTAATACAACTCAAACAGGCCTAAACGGCAGCAGATATATACAAATCCAAGAATCTGCCCGAATCTCCATCTTGCAAGAACTGTCTTCGTCTTGTCAGCACGAAAATTCCGTTTCTGTCACTTATGGTCGTGGATGAACTTCCGTCCACACTTCATTTTGCGTGTGCAAGATTTCAGAGTCACTATTACGATGGATATATTATGCACGTCGATGAAAGATGAAGACAAAAGTCTCAAAAGCTGGTAGTCCAACGAAATATACTAAACCAACCTAATTCTGAATTTGGAATGGGAAGGAAAAATTCTCCTTTCTTCCTCCGATGTGCAGAGGGTGAGCATTAGCCCCTCGAGGAATTCATGTTTACATCTGGGAGAGAGGGCTGGAGAAAGAAAAAATGAAGTAACCAGACGGTAAAGGCGAACCATTCAGGCGATTCCATTTCCATTTTCACCCCTCGACATTAAAAGAAAGACTTCGTTTAGAAATGACTTTCTGCAATTCTCCCTTGAGGGATTCGTAGATGATATCCTCTACCACGTGTGTTCCAGACGAGAGGAAAAGGAGAGAGAAAAATAAAAAAAACGAGACAGTGAATGGGAGGAGTTTCTAAAGTTTCTTCCCTCAGCAATGAAAAAACAAATATGGGAACTTTTCTTTAAAAAAAAGTACCTCTCTTTGTAATTCACCCTCCAGACATTGAAGTCCTCGGACGATGAAAGGCATGAAAGGACGAACGAAGCTAAAGGAACGGCCGGGAATTGAACCCGGGCCTCCTGATTGCCGGTCAGGTGTGCTACCTTTATACCACCGAACCCCGTACATTCAGTCGAGCCTCAATGCCATCCTCATCCGTCACAATATGAATGCGATTAACCTTGATGAATCGGACCCAATATTGGCTCATTTATTAAACCAGTTTGGTGTCCGTTTTATCAATTTGGCTTATGACACCCTATGGGAAATATGGAAATTAGTCAGCTTTTTCCTGCTTCTCTTCCTTGTTACGGACTGCGCACTTTAACTTTTAAGTCTTCTGGATGCAAATAGATTTATCAAATAATTTCTTCAAGGAAGAATCCCAGCAAAAACACTAAGAATGACAGGCTCTGTGGCATAAATAATCGATGGGAACTGTCCCGGTCAAAATTGTAATACTTCTCTCATTCGAAGAACAGTCTTGGAGGAGGTGTCCCTCTGGTTATTGGATGATGTCCTTTTATACATTATCAAGCGATCATGATCATCATGTTCTTATGGAACTTGCTTTGTATGGGGGCATTACAATTTTTTTAAATAGGGGTGCAATAACCTTGGCGTCATGCAACACAGCGGCGTAGCATGCGAGGGGGGGGGGGGGGGGGCACGTGCCCCCCCCCCCCCCCCCCCCCCCCCCCCTGGGGGGGGGGGGGGGGGGGGGGGGGGGGGGGGGGGGGCACGTGCTCCCCCCCTCCCCCATGAAGGGCATAACAGTATTCTAGAGCTCCCGTGCCGCCCCCTCCCCCCTTTTTCCATCCACGCTACACTTATGATGCAGCGGAGGATCAACTGTAAGCTACTCTATGTTTAACCTACTAATTAATACCAGGCAAGATGAATATATGGCTATTAGATATGAAACAATAGTAGAGAGACCGGTGAAAAATCGCGGTTAAAACTCGAGCTCCGACCGCTTGGCGGTTCCAAAATTGGTTAATTGGAACCACTGACTGCGTGGAGCTCTCGTGTTTTAATAGTGCTGTTAAGTATTGTTGACTCGGCTCGATCAACACCACAACTTTTCAGGGAAGTTTTCCCATCTGTATTTCATTTCTTAGCAATTTTGTGAAGATTATTAGTTGCTCCATCAATCATGAATCTATGAACTCACTTGAATGAGAGAAAAGCTGGATCCACGTTTTTCGAATCAAATATTTCTCCATCTGATGAGAGGAGTCCAGCATGTCTCTATCTGCCTACAAAGAAAAGGCAAAATATGAATATATGGGGTGGATTGCATAAAACTGACTAGCGTCATAAAGCTTTAAGCCTCCTTAAGCGGTGCTATTGGAAGTTTAAAGTTGAAGGGTAGATTTTTGAACAGAGAACTATCCGATATTCTGCTTTATTTCCAGGAAATATCAGGTATTTTCCCTGGAATAAAGCTGCATTATCGGATAGTTCTCTGTTCAAAAATCACCCCTAAAACTTCATTACGCTAAAGTCGGTTTTATGAATCCACCCATGAACACCAATGTAGGGTTTTAAATTCATTCAGATTTTGTAGGAGGACGAACCTACCCCCCCCCCCCCTCCAAAAAAAAAGTATTTATTCATTGTTTCATTTTTTTTTAGTGGGAAATCGATTCTTTTTAAACGTTGAAGGCCAGCGGTGGAGTGAATTTTCCATGGTATCGGTAATAGAAAAGTATGCTCTACTTCCTATTTTCTTCGTTGAACATTCTATGAATAGGCCTGTAAATGTTTGACAACTCACGCTTCTCGTGGGAAATGGGATGATTGAGAGGAATGGAAGTGAAGGAATGCACATGCCTTCAATGGAAAGATTGGGGAAGGGATCTGAAGAGACAAGTGCATGCGCATAATGCATTTGCCACTATGATCCTACGACCTGAGACCTACTCTGTCAAGCCAAGATTGTCATCTAAGAAATTTCAATTGAGACAATTAAAACTCTAAGTTCAGTCCTCTGAGAATGTACTAATAGTAATATTATTACATAATAATATTGGAATAATAAAAATAGTAGTAATAAGACCAGGAAGTCTTGTCCATGCATTTGGAAAAGAGTGAGCGACTTTCCTCAAAGGGAGCAAAACTGGAGTTAGCCATTTTACTCCCTAAAAACGAAAAAGTAATATCACTCACCTCTCTCTTTCCTTAATCACTTACGTTTTCTACTACACGATGTTAAAAAAAAAACCTGCCAAATCATTTTCGCTATTAATGACCGTAAATTTTAGCAGATAAACTCAATTTTTTAATCACTGCATGTAAGTAGAGGAAAGAAGCCATGTGCCAAATTGTAAGAAAATTGACATTTATCACGTTCTATGCCATTTAAAACTTGACATGTAAAAAAGTGTGCCAATTCGTTTTAAAAAAAATAGGAATGATAGTAAATTTCATCCGATCGGCCCAATATTTCACAAAATGTATGTAAAGGGTGCCAAACAATGATAGCCCCCCCCTGCCGGGGAAATACTGTAATAGCTAGAAGTGTGATCGTGATATAATCTGAAAGTACATCCAATTCTTCTTCTTTGCGGATATTAACATGTGTGCTGCTGTGTTAAACGACAGTGAAAAAAAAAAATTTTCGTGATGCCAATGGAGGGAACACTGAATATTGAGCTTGTAAATATAAACCCACAATAAATTGTGCTACCTATTGGTATTTTCATTTTTTTCCTACCAGGCTTCGTTTACTCTGGGGAGGGGGGGGGGGCTATCATTGTTTGGCACCCTGTAGATAGATGAAAGAAGGCTTTTACAAATTTTGAACTATATTGACAGAATGTATCACGTGATACTCCGATTAAAACTTGAAGGCTGAGAAAATGCACCGGACATACCCTACCCGCTGATGCGTTCGTCTCAGCTGTGCAGCAAGCGAGTGTCTGCGTGCCATCCAGAAAAGCAAAGGATGGCTTCACTTTTCTTAAAATTTGGCACATGGCTTCTTTCCTCTATCTACATGCTGTGTTTAAAAAATTAAGTTGATCTAATAAAATTTACGGTCATTAATAGCGAAAATGATTTGGCACAGTTTGTTTTTTAAACACCGCGTAGTTTGAAAAGTACTCTCCCTCCTTCGTTTCGTGCTTTTAAAAAGTTACGGATTCTGCTCAGATAAGGGAATAGTTATCGATCTTCCTCGTTTTTAGGGAGTAAAATCGCTAACTCCAGTTTTGCTCCCTTTGAGGGAAATCGCTCACTCTTTTCTAAGAGTGTGGGCTTCAAGTGCCACCGATCGAACACTGCTTGGGACCCTGTGCCCCAGCTTGCCACCATGGAGCGCTGCCCTTACAGGTCCAACCAACCAGTTGGGGCGAAACAACTGGTTCCCAAAATGAAAAAGAATCTCGCCGTTAACAATCGGAATCCAGCTCCTTCAGGGCCCTTTACAGTCGGATGCGGTGGCTCGATTACGTCTCGCCAGGGATAGATTCGATGGACCGAAGATCTCGAGGGATACCTTCAAGCATGCTATCGGGAAAGCGACCCAGATTCCTGTGGTTATATGGCGCGCATGCACCAGGCATGATGCGAACTGCACTCGGAGCATAGTTCACTCCAGTCCAGAACTTACGTGACCACGACTTCCTTCAAGACCAAGTATTCCGCTCCTACCATTTCAGTCAAGCGCTTCCTCCATTTCGACCCAAGTTAAATTGGAAGCTGCCTACATCTGATGGTCATGTCGGATCTGCGAGAGAACTTCTTAGCGAAATTCTCCGGCATGGCAAGGCCAGGAGCATCCTTCGACCCCGAACTGCATCGATACCGCAAAAGGTGAAGGTGCAATGACAATACCTTACGATTATGAACGCAATTCACATAAATACCTACTTGACCAACCCAACCTGTGGATAATAAACTGCGCTGTATATGCAGCAGCACTCGTACTTCGCCAGCAGTGACGTCCAAAAGCTGGACTCAATCCAAAAATAAAAAAGGCACACAGGATGGCATCCTGGATCCAGATCTCGACCATCAGCTGGCAGCCGACCATCACCAAATCTCCGATCCATCACGGAGAGGATACGGTGCCAGCACTACACGCTAATATTGCCTACAATGCTGAGAGTCAAACAAACGCATGTGGATGAGATCCGGGCTCTGTCTACTGCTCGAGTCTAAAGCTACGACGGAAACGCAGGGAGGACGTGTTACTCCTCAATGTTCAGTCTTCACTTTTCCGTAAGCGTGGCGTCAGGTCTATTCAACCCACCACCACACCAACGGTAGACGAAACATATTTCTGGCCTAATATTTAAGACTCAGGTCTCACCGGAAATGGAAATGGTCATCATGCGCGGAAAAAAAGCCCCCTCGGCCCAACAAATTGTATTCCTTCTGATGGAAGGTGTTCCCCTCCCTCTCTGTCAGCCATTCTTGCAGATTGTTTTCAACGTCTGCTGAGTTCGCCGACCCTAAGAGTTACCGATCCGTCGCTTTCATTCTCTCTCGGTAGTTCATTCCTATTCCACGGACATCGCAATGGACTTTGGGGAAGACAAATGTGCCACTTTGAAAGGGAAGAAGGGCAAGGCGGTTGACATGGGCAATGGTAAACCTAATCGATGGGACTATCATCCACGATCTCAGCGTAGAGGAGCCATACCCTACCTTAACGTGCCAGAGCGGTAGTCCCAGGAGGTAAACACCATCACATCGGCCCTCAGGAGGGAATACAAAAACGCCGTCCACGGTGGTTCTGGAGCTTGGAGCTTCCGCTTGCAACAAGGTGACGGGCACAAACTCCTTTGCAATCCCCGTTCTCATCTACACCTTCGGTGCCCTTTACTGGACTGTCAAAGAGCCGGAAGACTGCACTACTGGGAAAACCACAAATATGAAACCGTAGTCTTTAGCATAAGTCTTCTGTGCACCTTCCGCGGGATGAGGGCAAGGGAGGCCTGCTGGGAGTGAGGCATCTGCACGACCGTGTGACCATCGGAACTGCTGTTCGGCTGATTGCTAATGGTGACGACCCCCTCCTTGTGATCACTCTAGAGCGCATGGGTAGAGGATCTTTTTTGTTCCAAACTGCAGACCAAGCGGCAAGATGTATTGGACTACGGCTAGAGACAGGACCACGACAATTGCCTATGCCCCAATACCCAGAAATATGCCTGGCCGTTCAGTGACCCGCATCACAAGTGACAGCTAGAGGCCAAATATGGTGTCGGACAGAAGCGATTCAGAAGAGCCGGTAGCAGCGCCAAAAGCAAAAATCGTGTTCGTCCGCGACACAGGTGAAGAAAAAGCCAAAGCTGCTGGTTAAATACACGTCTTTTAGAAACACGTTCACTTGTTGGAAAACCTGCCGCAAGTATGCTTGTCAAGTTTGTAGCACTGCCTTTAACAGGGTCTTCTCCATAGGATAATTGGGTTAAATGCAGATATGGAACGCATATTGTTCTCGAACGGAATTCAGTGCATGAAATGTTCTCGAGACGGAATTGAACTTCTGAAGGCAGAGCTTCAGGTACAGGCCTAGGTTTCTTTTCCTTGCACGGAATTCTTTGAGTTTATCTTGAATGCTGAGAAACTTTTCAGGGCTGTCAGCACAGATGAGGAATACTTCAAGCAGAAATTGTGATTGTTGTCAGTGAGTTTAATTTTGGTTCAACATATGAATTGGCTAAATTGGGGGAAGTAATGTCTTATAGGCATGTCAATGACAAGAATGTGATCTTAAAAATCCAAAAATTCTACAAGCAAACCACCCATTCAACTTTCCATGCAACACCGTAAGAGACAAGGGAAAAGATATCGGTGGAACTAGGGGATTGGTAAATAAAATGTATTCTGAACTTTTTCCTCCATTTAGGGGGGTGGAAGTACACAAGGGAAGAACATCAACAACAACGATAAACTGACAATTCCATGAGGAATGGAGAAGAGAATCACAGTGAGACCATCAACACTCAACCGGTCATTTGTGAGATTCCCATATCTCTTTAAAAAATCTGGAAGGAAATCACGAGCCACCTCGCAAGGGCAGCCAAAATGCAAGTTGTAAAATCTGGCAACCCTCCACCACATGTTTCCTCACTGAACAGCATTTAATTTCCATATCAGGGGACTAGAAATTCAGGGGTGGGGGGAATCTTTAGCACAGCAAATTAAAATTTCAAAAATTATTTTTAAAAAACCCTGAAAACAACAAAAGGGGAGACCACGCGCAAATGTCCATCACCAAATTTACAACGCTGCTCCCAGAGAGCATTGTGAAGAAGCCAGATCCCCTCTCCCTTGACATGGATGCCACAGCATATGAGACACAAGATCAAAACAACTCAATAAAACTTCTTAGCATGAGCTTCCTTGTTGTCTCGATAGATCCAGTATCCAATGAGAATAGCAAGTTCTACAACAATGAATATGATGAACACAGTGGTAGACAAGCACTTGATGTTGAGATCGCAAGGTTTCCCTGTTGCACCAGTGCCCTGCAGTCGCTGGGAAGCAGCACTCAGATCCCGCTTCATCACATTCATGTTGTCCTTCAATTCATTCAAGGATGTATGGATGTCATAGCCAACTGGCTGAGCGCTGCCCTGTCCCACGGGCTGCTTGGCCTGGTTGCTCAGGATGTTTGTGCTCTTCTGGTGGATCTCAGTGACATAAGCCTTGATGTCTCGGCCCAACTGGACTATGTCCCTCTGGGATGCAAGGACTTGGTCTACCTCATGCCGCTTGATTGAATCCATCATCATTGGTTGCTGCTGCCCTGTCTGGCTCCCACTTGGCATCCCCACCTGCAGTCATTAAGCCTTATTTTTACTTCCTACATCTATAGACCTATAGCAGTGGTTCTCAACCATTTTTAATCTGTAGATTCCCTTCAGAATAGAGATGAACTGAACAGACCCCTTCACTACCTATGTGAATTTGTAAGCTCCTAAGATTAATGTAATACCTTTTAATATCATCAAACTACAGCTTCCCCTGTAACCTATAGTGACTTTTTACAACATCTACCACATCTCCTTTCAAGGCCTCCATAGCGAGGAAGAAAATATTGAAACCATAAATGGCATCACTCAGGGCAGTTTCATGACTTTGTTGGTGCTTTTAGCCTCATATCTAAGGTGGACCATACAAATCTACATTTCAGAGAAAAGTTACAAATAAAACATGCTGTAAACAATAATAAAAATGTCCCTAATGGAAGAAATTATATAAAGGTCAAAACCAGGTCTTTTGACACCACAAGGTCTGGCATGTACTAGGGAAAACAATACAATCACTGGAGAGTAGAGAAATTCCTAGCCCTTATCTTGAAATACCTGAAATATACTTATTTGCCAGTTAATTTGAATAAACTTGGTGTGAGCTAGGTCCCAGTGGACAAGAAGTGAATGACAAAGTGACCTGTCCTTGAGTGACAAGACTGAGCGTCCTCTCCTGTCGACCAATGATTTCATCCATTTTGCGATGGAGATCTCGAAGAACATCAAATATCTGGCTCTGCCCTGTGAAGATTTGCCGCAACTCTCGCACCTCATCATCCTCCAAATACTCCATCCCTTCAGCTGGTTCCTCCTTCTACAAACATGTATGTCCACAAACTATTATACTCCAGTGATCATGATAATACACTAGAAGTAACTTCAAACCAGTTTTGCATCTTAATCTATTTCTGTTTTCCCTCATATGTTTGATTTACTTCATTGGGGGGGGTAGCTTAAATACCTTTGGGTTTCAACTTAATGCTGACTTTTTTTTTTTTTTTACAAGCAACCACATCTGCTGGTAGGTGGTTTACTTACCATCTTGGAGAAATATCTCCACGACATTCTACTGTGCTCTTGCATCTTGCTTAGGAGTGCAAGATGCAAGAACACAGCAAAGTAACACCAGATCTATCCCCAACTGTGTAATTTGGCACTTGCAAGTAGAGAATGACTTCAACATGATGATGGTTGTCTGTTTAAGGGTGTAGTTAGATGGTGACTGGCGACTGTTGGTGCTGTTGACTGAAACCAGCTCTTGCAAAGAATACTTTGCAGTTGCAAATTGAGAATGAAATGAATGCATAAGAGCTGGAACAACCATGACCACAGGCAGAGCAGAAAGATGAAAACAATACTTAAGGTCTAATACATTACATACTTTACATACTCTTTTCATTCTCAAAAAGGCTCTTCAAGATATACTTATGCTAATAATACATTCAAAGGAGCATAGTTTTATTACTGAAAACAAATGTTGTATGTTGTGTACCACTCTGTGGGATTTCTTTCACAGTGTAGAAAACAAAAATACCAGTATAGATATGAAGAATCCCTCCAGTAATAGACAAGTCAAAGTGATGAAAAATGAGGGCAGGCATACTGAAATCAAAAGGCAAAGTATGGTAGCAAAAGCTTTCAGTTTTCCTGTAGAGGTAAAACAGACACAGACCTTTGCTTCGGGATGTTTCTCATGATATTCTTTCCTTTGAGCATCAAGGCGTTGCTGGAACTGCTCATATTCCTGGGCCAGTTTCTGCTGCTCCTCCTCAGTGATTCGTTGGTCCACTTGCTCTGATGATGGAGACCGCAGGGAGTGGGTGAGAAATCTGTACACATCATGGTCGTCTGCCAGTCCTCCAGTTGCTGCTGACACTCCAAAGTATCCATTTTGTGGAAGATAAACATTCTCAGCACGGAAGCACAGTTCATACTGGTTGGGATTCTGTGTAGCCCCAACATGGAACATGACAGTGAGGACATTGTTGTAGTATTCTATCAGGGCTCTGACAGGGTAGGGTCGGTTTCGATAGTCCCGCAAGCACCCACCAAGCTGTTGCTGGTTTCCATCATTCTGGTGGTCATACTGAATTGTTCCATCATTGACCATTCCCATGATGTAAGGATTGTCCCTTTTCCCATCATTGTCATAGGAATCAAAGAAGATCCCCAAACCTTTCCACTGATCAGGTGCTCCAAAGACAGGGCCAGCAAGGCCCTTGGTTTCTGTGAACCAAAATGCCAGTCCATCTGCACCAACCCTGCCCCGGCCTTTCACGCTAAATATCATCTCCACACTCCACCACTCAAAATTGGTCTTGGCTTTTGTCCAAATAGAACCTTTCTGGCTCTTGAGGGACGGCACTATCCGAACACTCTCTTCACTTGCAATCGTGTGACCTGCATATTGCCAGAATGGCACACTGCCATCCTTTTGCGATAAATATGGTCCCTTGAAGCTGTATTTGTACTCAAAGCGCTTCAGCGGGTTCTCTCCCAATGACAACACGCAATCACACAAAAGCCAAAGTGCGAGGAATGTATAATGAAAGAGATCCATGCTGCAGAGCAGGAAGTCTCTGAAAGACATATCATCAAATTGAACATATCCATTGGAGGACAAAAATTAAGCCTATTATATTGACTGTCACATGATCTCAACATATCATGGCATCATCACACAATAATACTAACATCATACCCAAGCCATCATATCTAGCAGTAGGCATGCAATGCAGGTATGTTAATAAAACAATTGGTTGCTTGAAAATAATTTGGGAGCATTTGCATGCCCAAGTAAATGATCTCTGGGACCAACTCCCAAACTAATCAAATGCCAACATCCCTTTTCCTTTCCCCTGGAGATGTAATGATATCAAGTTTTCCATCTATGACCTTGTGACCACCAACAAACACTCAATAACTGAAATTGAAGGAGTGGCCCTTCAATTCAGCTTGTAACATAAATATGAAATGAGATTAAGAAATCAATACTTTTACCTCTTTTCCTAAAAATCTTGTATTTCTGTTCAAATTCACATAATCATTTCTTTCCTTGATACTGCTGGCCGACCATGCCCTAACTGTGTCATAGAGCTCCATTTTTACAAATTAATGTTTTACCCAAGACTAAGCATAGGCTGGACCTCTACTCAGGCTTGGACTAAGTTAGGCTATGTTGCCCTACTTTACTTCCATTGTATGCCAGTAAGTAGAGCTAATCGTACCAATGACATCTGCTTCCACTTTGTCAATGTTTCAATGGGATGAATAGGATAACGTTGAGGGTCAGGCCTAGCGTTGCGCCACAATCGATGAACGCCATTCTGACATTGCCATACATTCGGCTTCGCTGGGCTTATTCAACGACGTGGCCTCGTTACCTCCCAAGGGTAATGTCAAATGTCAGTTACTTCGTTTCTATATGGGCAGTCAGAACCATCTTCCGTAATAAGGCTCAGTCACGGTACATTGATGGTCGGTGGCTTTGTAGGTTTTATTATGCGTCAGGGGATTAAGTCGTACCATAATAATTATTCCTAGGTACGCCTAGGGGATGAGGCGCTACAAATCTCAGAAAACGCGAGAAACAGAAAAGAGAACTGCGCCTAGACAGATGACCCAGTCACTTCAGCGTAGGGTAAGATGGAACAAGAAACCGTTTCTCATTTTTTCTTTTTTTCTTTTACTCCCCTATCTGTCGTGGCTTCCGGTCCCTACACGTTGTTAGGGCCGTGGATAATCATCCACGGCCCTAACAACTAGGAATGTAAAAACATGGTGAAATTTCCGATATTTCGATTATTCAATAATCTGTCCTTCCAATACCTGATAACCATTTTCGACAACCGATCAAGTGGGAACCTCTTTAAGGAAGCTACAAATCTTTATCTTTTAATGGCATTGGGTATGGACATTTGATGATTTTTCATCTAACAGTATATCAATTATTGCTTCCTGAAACCAAATTCTTAGCAAGCCCTATGGTTCTTTCCTTACAGATTCCCTCTCCTATTTTACGTTTTCAAGAGACCCCTAATTACGCGTATAGACGGCGAAGGCTAACTTTGAGGCTTAGTCTGAACCACCTTAACTGACTATTCATCACCATTATTGACATCAACCAGGCACGGAAAGGCGTATTCATTTCAATGTCATGACCTTGCTCGTTCCGATAATGGTGTCAAACGTCATTTGTCAAATTTCCTGTGATGGAAGTGTAAAACATTTATTCTAATTGGAGATGTCACTAAATATGGTCGGTGGAATAAAATCGGATGAAACCTGATTCATCAGGATGACACCCGCGGAATGAGGATGGTACCGAAATAAATGTAAGGATGTGTACTTTTTATCGTGGGACTCCACTGAGCCTGGAAAACGAGTGAAAAAAAAAGGAAAAGGTGCCGAGATGAAAGTTGCTTCAGCGTGGGGCAAGATAGAGCGAGATACAGGTTCTTCTTTATTCCTCTAGGCCCCTCCCTGAATGTCACCGCGGCGCGCCACGGAGTAGATTCCATATGGTGTATAAATCTATGCTTACTGGACAGGCCTGGGCACGGATAACGTCTGCAAGCATACTACATTGATTTAATGCGAATAGCCACTACTCACCTCGCACTTAGATGAAAACCGGATTTCGGCAGAGCAAAATATTTATCATGAATATTTATCGAAATCTCAAATCAGGTCCATATCAGTAAAATATCGTTACTTCCATACTAATAGAGGTTCAGAGTAGCTAACGTGACAACTTATGTTCACAAGATAGGTCTACATATGAATTGTGTCAGCTGCCACATTGTGTTGTTTCGATAGAACATACATTCTTCATGTACTGAGAAATCTGATTTGATGGAGCAAAATATTTAATTGCAAATGTTTGACATTTCTAAGCCTTTAACAAACACCTGATAATTGATATCATTGACAAGTCATTAAACTCCTACTTTCACTTTTGTAAAAGGGTTGGGCTCACTGCAGTATAAATTTCCCTTTGCTCAGGGTTTGCAATTTGTCAAGCTGAGAACCCACTTTTTCCCCATTTCTCTAGCAAAAACCCCCCAAAAAAATGGCCAACAACGAAAAATTTACAAAAAAAAATAACAGAAGAAAGTTCAGAAACAGGTAAGGTTCCTAAAACACTGTCATAATATCCTCAACTTAAGGAAAATCTAAATTAAAAAAAATGGATTAAAAAAAGTAGCAAATAATACATTTAATGTTTGTCCTTGCTGGGTGTTTCCATGCTTCTCATATAACAGGAAAGGCTGCTTTCAAATTTCAAGATTAATAATACAAATAAAGCATTGCCTTGGTATTGGGAGGAGAGGACAGTAGGACTAGTGAAAGTCTACTGCATGCTGAGAAAGAATCATACTTCTCCCTGACAGTTAGAAATGGTTGGTGAGAGTTCATTTTTAACTCTTTTGTGGGCAAATTTTTCCTAATGCGCTGGAAATGACAAAATTCAGAAAATTTTATTTTTTTCATTTACAGAGACTTATTTCAAGAACTTATTTTATTTCCAGACTTTCTTCAACTATAAAAAACTATCATATTTGTGTTGGGAATTATTCTTCCCAATGCCCTTTTCGTCACCACAAATTCATAACATTGTTGACACCGTGGTTCTAAACATATACAATCTTCCACAAAGCAGTCAAACATACAGAGGCTCAGGTACCCCTTACATGTGTCAACGAGGAATGAAATTGCTTGAAAAACAATGGAATACATAGGGGAACCTTTCCTTATGTATTTGGTTGTGTTTCAAGTTTCCATTTGATGTATTCACTGTTTCTTGAAAGTGTTGTCTGAATAGGTCGCATGCTTCCATATCTGCTCCAAAATGGCTTCCCTATAGGCCTCATGGGCACCAGGTAAAATTTGCATGGAATTGTCTTGGTCACTGGTAGATAGTGCAGGTGTTATATAGTGGGAAGAAGCCTTCCCAGAGCAATGGGAGGGTGAAAAGTTTGCTGGGAAGAATTCTTCCCAGTGTCCATGAAAGGGTTAAAGCAGTTATCCTGAATCTCCTGAAGAAAACAAGACAAAAAATATTTGGGGGAAGAAATGAGTTTTACCCCTGGGATTTTCCAATGGAACTCATCAGTTTTTTCTACTCTTATTCCTCATAGAATTCTTACTTATAGCTTCTTCTACTCCTAGTCTTAAAGCATTTTTAGTCCCAGTTTTCTGTACTCAGTATTCAAACAGGTTATGATTAGCAGTTGATGATCATTACATAAATCAACTGATGATCCATGACTGACTTTCTGCATAATTAGGATAATTTGCCTCATATGGACACTGTGTAGGTGGAGGGTGTCGTACTTCTCAAAGCTCCCATTGATTTAAGAAAAAAAAAGCAATATATCAGAGTAGGCATGTTGTACTTATCTTCTCATATTGTGAAAACATCCTGCTCATTTCTCCAGTGGCAAAAGATCATCACACCAACATTTCAGACAGACACAGACATCTGATCCTGTCATTTCATATTAAAAATCTCCAGGATGTATATGGGATGTCACACAGCACATCTATATCCCTCACATTTATGTATGTCCCTTGGGCATTCCTGGGACATGTTACAGAATGCACTTTGAGTCTGCAATAATCCAGGGGCATCCTACAGAGCACCCTTTACAAGCCCACATAAAATCTGCAAACTTTCAAAATGTGTCCATTTAAAAAAAAAAAGTGTAGAGTTCATGGATGCATTTTCTTTTGAGGAAACCACAATAAAAGCAGGTGCAAAGAAATTGTAGCATTTAAAGGCAGCTCTGATGTGATTTAGAATTAATGATGATCACTATCAGATCACAAGAGTGTTCCAAGTTTAGTTGCTTGACTCTCAGTACAAACTCACTGTATGCTTCAAGACTTCTGTCTTGAAGCATACTGAGAGTTTATTCTGACATTGGTGCAGGAAGAGGTCGATAATAATAAAGATCAGAAGAAATACCAGGGAACCAATATCAAATTCTGTTTCTCAGGCAATTATAGGATACCAGATAATGAACAAAGTATACCTGTACGAGGATCAGTGTGGAGGGGGGGGGGGGGGTTTGGATGACACACAAGGCAAAATCCCAACTCCCTCAAGGGTTCACTGAATGTCCTGCATCTTTCCCTAGCTTGACTTCTAATCCCCCCTCACTCTTTCGCACAGCCCTTTAATTCTCCTTTTCAGACGTTCATTTTAATTTACAATCCTATAAGTCTTGATATACAAAATGTACTTCCTACACATTTTATCAACTGGGATATCTGGGAGAATAACTTTTTTCTTAATTTTTAGTGGACAGTAGACAGTCTTTCACAAGATATGAAGCATCCAAAATCCACTGCCATGCCTCAAGAAAGGAACAAACATGTGCCTGACATGGCTTGACTCAGAATTTGTGACTACTGGATGTAAGGTAAGAGAAATATAACAAGCACATAAGTTCTGCACCTTAAACAATTGAGGAGCAATTGGCAAAGATGCTACATGTAGTACTAACTACACTGCCCAGGTCCCAAACTTTCTTCACTTTAGGTACTATGGTATTTTGCAGAAAAAATTGGGGTCATTTCTG